ACCTGATGGTAAGCAATCATTGCCGCCCATAAACACCCATTACATAATAGTTACGAGTGCGTTACCAGACATTTGGGGACTCGGGATTTGGATTGGGGAAGGATTGGGCCTTCGGTGACCTCACACGGCAAAATATAACGCTGTGTTATTACCTGATGGTAAGCAATCAGCGCCGCCCATGGATACCCGCAACAACATAGGAGTTCCAAGCGCGTTGCTGACCTTTTGGGGATTAGAGATTGGGGAAGGATTAGATGAGGGAAAGGATTGGGCCTCACTTACACGGCGAAACACAACGCTGTGGTTGTTGTTTCCTGTGAGGCTTTGTTATCACTGCGGTTGAGCCGACCCATTCGTGCCGAAGCTTGGCTATCCCAAACTCAATTAACCTAAAGAACTTATCTTTAAGTAAGAATGACCAAAACAAAGCTAACTACGTAAGACTAAGAGTCAATATTTTATACTTCACCTTTAAAATCTAAAACTGTTTGATGTTAATTGTAGTAATAATGAAACTTCGTTAAAAGCTGCATTGTCTGCACTGTCTGGTTCATTGCTAATCAAATCACCATACACAACAATTTGCTGACCGACAGACCCCAAGTCCCCAATCGATGTAGGTGAAGTACAAACACTGTAATTACAAAAGAAAATATTTAACTAAGATAATGTCTAGCAAATGTCTAAGGTTTATTGATCGTAGTCACTTAACTGTTGAAACAACTGTAAAGAAATCATCATTCTCATACATTTTAACCTATTTAAGATCGACTGTGTGATTTGCAAATACAGAAAATAAACTCTGTAATTGAAACGACACTGGGAACACAAAATTTTACAGCGGCATTGGTATTTTTTAAAAGGTTGTTTGTTGTTTTTTGTTTAGTTAACTTTTAAGCTTCAGTAGAATACATTTCAATAATGACCATGGTAATCTCCTAACTGATTTAGCATGATCATCATCGTCACCATCATACCATTCGCAAGACGCCCATTGCTTTTTATGTGATTAGGCAGCATACGAGCAGACGATTACCTGATGGTAAGTAATCAGCGTCGCCCATGGACATCCCGCAATGACAGAGGAGTTACGAATGCGTTGCCGATCTTTTGGGGATTAGCGATTTGGAGATCAAGGGATTGGGGAGATAAGAGAAGGGGAACGATTGTGTTTCCGGTAACATGACTGACACGGCGAAACACAAAGTTATGGTTGTTTCACGCCGGTTTTTTTCGAGACTCTGGTATCCCTCCGGTCGAGCCGACCCGTTCGTGCCGAAGTATGCCACTCCCACACTTAAAATGTTATTGGCGCCCTGCCTCATTGTTTGGATCTTCTGTCGCATAATGTTTGGTATTGCCTTCATTCTTATTTAATCATGATGAGAGAAACTAAAACTTTACAGCTTACATGTTGGAAACCACTGACTAATACATGGAGTGATCAGGTACTTAGTGGTTGTGTCGCTGTTTGACGATGTCATTTGCTGTGACGAGGAGCTTACTTAAGTGGTATAGTGTTGATTGTTATCGCTTTGCGTTGTTTTAATAGCTTATTAACTCCATAGTGTGGAAATTGCAAGTGCAACAATTGAGTTAGATTTTATTTGATATTCGGTTTCGGTGTTTGGTTTCGGCAAATTGAATATTATTATTTTGATTTTTTTTATGTGATAAAACGGCAAACGTACTGACGTTTTACCTGATGGTAAGCAATCGGTGCCACACCCGAAACAACGGATGAGTAACGAGTGTTTTGCCACTTTGGTGATTACGGTTTTGGAGATCTAGGGATTAAGGGGAGAGCAAGGATTGGGCCTAAACACAACTCTGTAGATGTTTTATGACGCGAGCCGACCTATTTGTGCCCAATCCACACCTACACACATATTACGTTTTGTTTTCGGAACTATTTATCCTTTCTCTGTTTACAACAGTCGAAATGCATGGACTTCACATTGGCTTCCGAAGCTGCACGTGACGGAACGTGATGATAAAACACTAATGATTCATACTTACGGAATCTGTTGAGTAAATTGGTAACAACAGCCTTCCTAGAAAAGTATATTAAGTCCCTAATTTATAATAACTAATTAAGACGACATTGTTTGTTGTCATGATGAATATTTGATGTCTTCATTTGTTTCTTAGTACTTACGGCGTCTACAAGTGTGGGAGAGCCAAGCTTCGGCACGAATGGGTCGGCTCGACAGGACTGATACCACGGCCTCACAGAATACCGGCGTGAAACAACCCAGCGTTGTGTTTCGCCGTGTGAGTGAGGTTACCGGAGGCCCAATCCCACCCCCTCCCCTATCCCTTCCCGATCCTTTTATTCGCAACCCCTAACCCCAAAATGCTGGCAACGCTCTCGTAACTCATTTGGTGTTGCGGGTGTCCATGGGCGGCGCCGATTGCTTACCATCAGGTAATCCGTCTGCTCGTTTGCCGACTTATACCATAAAAAAAAAACTCTACAAACACATTTGAATTACATTATATATAAATTTAAGGCTTGTTTAGATACCAAAGCAAATAAGAGATGTGTTCGATATAGTATGGGCACTCTCTCATTGCAATTGTTGCAGTGGCCGGTGGGTGGTAGGTAATTTATATTTTTTCTTAATCTCCGGTAGAAAGCTGTAGTGAAATTGTACGCACTATGTACTCGTATGTAGACACGTGAGTTGTCGATAAATATTAACTTTTATGCACTACCGTTGCTGATATTTGACTTTCTCAAGGATATTGCGTTACAACTTTCTCGCGGCTGATAAGAAAGCGCGAGAAATGAGGAAAACTCCAATGAATACTGATCGATTGGTACTTGGACTACAATTAGGTACATGGCAGATGACTTTTATGTTTGAAATAGTACTTACTTATCCAGTGTAACTCATATCGTTTAAGTGTATGAATGGACTGTCAACGGAGAAGGTTCGAGCATTAATCACCACGCTAGCACAAGGCGGATTAGCGATTTCAATTTTTTAATTAGAAATTATAAAGTTCAGATTTTGATGTTGTGCTTCATCCTAGGTCTATACATGTATAGTCTAAAATCTAAATAAACTTTGAAAGTAAATAGATTGAAAATGCCGGCTTCTTCTAGTTTTTTTTTTATAATTTGGACATGTAAAAACTCCGTTTACTGACCTATTTGCTATAATAGATTCATTGTTTTAATAAAAATAAATAAAATAATGTAAAAATTCACATTGGTACTGGTCAGGTTTTGCTTTACCTAAACCTTTGGGCCACCACGGCGGCAATAAATTACCAAATATTAAAAGCACTTCCAAACCAAAAGGTAAAAAAAAACCTTAACTATCATCTATTATTTTTGTTTAACTTCTAGGATTACATGATAATACTATGATGATTTATTCCAACATTTGTTCCGTGTCAAGTTATCAGTTAACTAACGCGCATAAAACATTAAAAGCAAGAGGAAGGCTGACCAGAAATGATGGATTGTTTGCGAGTGAGTGAGAGTAGGCAAAGGGAGATGAGTAAACGCCTTGGAAGGCAGATAATATTTTGAGAAGAACTCATGAGAAGGTAGGTACTTACCGCTGCAATTTTTTATGTTGTCGTTCAGCAAACGAGTAACGGATTACCTGATGGTAATCAATCAGCGTCGCCCATGGACACCCGTTTTTTTTTGCGGGCGGGAGAGAGTGTCAGACTAAAAACCCCCCTCCTGCTCTAGGCCGAGGTCGCCCACCCGAGGACGAGGACACCCGTAACCTTCCTTGTGTGACGATGGCTTAGTTTCAGCTTTTGAGAAATTGTTCGGTTGAGTAACCAATCATAAGCCACACTAGGAAATTATTGTAATTAACTAAACCGCCCCCCCCCTGTTCCTGCTTCTGTCATGGTTCCTGAAGCCACGGTACTTTGTTGAGCAACCCCAGCTGTGACACCACGTCCCTGAGTCTACTGCTCATGAATTATGACATAAAAACTGGTAGACCTTTTCCCACTTGATTCCTCTGAGTGCGTCATTATTTTCAATTAATTTATTTTAGAAGACTATATAATTATACAACTTCTACTTTTAAAAATTGATTTAAATTTTTATTTCGCATCTCATTACTGATTCTTATTACATAAGGAGTAGAAATTTTTATAGCTTCTTGGAATTGTTTACTATACTTTTTATCAATTTTCCTTAATAATTAACATATAATGCAAATTCTAAGAAAGCGTAGTCTCCTAACAACATTTAACAATAAACGAATATACGAGTAAGTAGTTATAATGTTACCGTAATATAAAAGAATTGACAAACCGTGAAAGAAAGTGATTTACATTAGAATAATTGGAATAACAGAGAAAGGTAAGTTCACTGACCAAATAGGACGAAACAAAAAGAAAAAACATTTAATTGCATGAAGTTACGTTGAGAGGATGTATATGTGAGTCAGTTTTTTTAGGTAGATACTCCAATAATAGTACTAGAGGATAGATCTTGTCTCGACTAAGGGAAGAAAATTATCAAATCTATCAAAATCAAGTGCTGCCCTGATTGGGATGGGAAACAGTTTCAGTCTTTTACAGACATCACCCACTCCTCTCTCTCTCTCTCTCTCTCTCTCTCTCTCTCTCTCTCTCTCTCTCTCTCTTTCTTTACATTATTACTCTTGCACACTTTTACACTCAGTGATTTTATTGATATATCACGCGAAGTGTTTTACAACTCGGTAGCTTCCTGCCATAACCCCGATTCACTTATTTTACTTACCATATTAATTTAAACTCGAGGAAAGTGCATTATTGTGTGTATTTATTATAAGATCCTATGGCATTCGTGAAAGTAGTATAGCTTGACTATCAAGAATAACAGGTTTCAAATTATGTAAAGCTGTATGTGCAATAGTTGTTATCTCTTCTAAGTTATTTATATGTACTAAAATATAATTAAATATTTAAAATAAAATGCCATCAACATTTTTGTAAATAAACAATGTATTAAATTTGAAATCACTATATGTATTCACAATCACTTCTTAATTATAACGTCCCTTAATTTCTTCCAGAACTCCTCCTCGTTCCTTTGGTCCCACGAGTGGTAGATTTTCGTTTTCAACAAGTACTTCAACGTTGTGGTCAGGTACTTGCTCTGTATCTCTCCTATTCTTATTAACACCAGGGGATCGTACGTCGTCCCATCCTCCAGGAATATTCTATGGTACTCCGCCAGCTGTGTCTCCCATCGACACCATTGTGATTTCGCGAAACTATTACTTATTATTAAAATAACGTACTTACTCTCATTAATACTGTTTAACACTGCTTCAGAAATAAACGAACCTATTTCAAAGTCTCTCTCGTATACACAGAGTTTTAAGAACGGTGGCTTTGATTCCAACTGTGATATCATTTCGTGAACAAATTCTCTGTCCTCGTTACAGTATGACACAAAAGCATCATATTTATACGTCTTGCCTCCGTCGGTCTTTACTTGTTTCTTCTTCAGATTTCTACCTAATGCTACTTTGGCTATGAACATCCAGTAGCGTATATACATTCTAAACTTGTAAACAATAGCGATTATAAATAAGACTAGAGATATTGTGACCAGCGATGGCGCTGTCCACACGAGCACCATCACATTCGATATTTTCTCGTACATCAAACAGTGCAGACTTTTTACTGAAATTAAATATTCTGACACTCTCCTATCTTCCCACAAATCAGGACTAGTGCATTGGAATTTGGAACTAAATATATATTGCTTTAAGGCCTTTGTTGCATTTGCTTGTAACCAACGATATGTAGTAAACATGGAGTTGCAGTCACATACAAAAATGTTGTTCATTAAATCTATCACGATATCCCCTTTGCTTGCTTCCAACAAGTAACCGATGTCCTGAATCATGCTCAGTGAGAAGTGTGAAATTTTGTTGTTTGTTAAGTACAACCGGTTTGGTTTAACACCAGAAGACAAAAATATTGGTTTCCACCATGACATCAGTAGATTTTCACTTAAATCCAGAAATTGAAGAACTTTCAATGGTTTTAATATCTCTGCCGTTATGTAATACAGTTGGTTATTTCTAAGCACAAGATGAGTTAAATTTGGCATCATCTCAAAAAAGTTATCATCTTCATTGAATTGTTTGATGCCACAATTTTCTAGAATAAGAATTTTTAATTCATCGAGGCCATCGAATTGTGAACTCGTTAAATTTTGATTAGCAGTCAAAGGATTGTTTGCCAAGTTAAGTATTTCTAAATGTTTGGTTGCTTTGAAACTATCTGCTCCTATGTGATATAGAGTTCCATTTTCCATACTAAGTATCTTTAAGTTCTCTAGTCCTGTAAACGTATAATTAAATATAGCTCTAATTCCATTAAATGCTAAATTTAAAACTTGTAGATTCTTACTCTCTGTGAAGGTGTATCTGTCTATTTCATAGTAAACTGGATTGTTTGCGTGTCCTCTGTTATCAGATAAATCTAATAACATAAGTTGATTAGACAAGTGAGTTCCGTGGATTCCCGGCAGGCTATTACCGCTCAATAGCAGAAATCGCAAGTTTGGGAACATTTCAGGTGTGAAAGCCATGGGATCCACCAAAATGCAGGACACTTTTCTCAAATCAATTAGCTGTAAATTGACCATTTTTGGAAAAGATTCTTTGCTGATTATCTCGAACTGATTTCTCGATAGTATTAAACTTTGTATGGTGGAATTTGCGATGATATTCATCAGCTTCTTGGGCGGTTGCTTCCTGAAGCCCATCCCTGATAAGTCCAAGTGTAGTAAATTGATGTTATTTTCAATCAGTGTTACTAAAAAGTTTTCTATTAACGTGGCGTTCAGATCATTGTCTCCAATATGGAGGTCTTTTAAATGTTTAAGTGGCAGAAAACTATCGGGATGTATATGCTCTAGTCTACATAAATTAAGATCAAGTTTCCTTAATGAAGAACCCGCCATAGGTTTGAAGGCATCTTCTGGTATAGTTTCTAAAGTGTTTTCAGATAGATCCAGTCTTCGTAGGGATGGTAGGATACTGGGCTTAAATGATGGTGTTAATTGTAATACTGATCCAAATCCGTTGTTAACTAAGGTCAAGTTATGGAGATTCGTCAGCCCCTCGAACGTTGTCTCTTGGATTGTTTGAAGCAATGTATTATACGATATGGACAGTTGTTCCAGATTTGTTAAGTTTGAGAATATTCCAGGCTCGATGTACCGGAGCTGATGATTCGCTTCTATTTCTAAAACTTTCAAGTAGTACAGATAGTCTAGTTCTCCTTTTAAAATCTCAGTTATCACTGTGGTTCTAACTCTTAACACTTCACTGCGTACTTTTACCTGAAAAAAAAAGAATTGCCTTTTAATAAATACCTAGATTAGTTTAATATTACCTTAGATTTTGTGTGTATGCTGTGGCACGAATAGGCCTGCTTTAATGGAGTGATAACACAGCCTCACAGAAATCTGTGGTGAAACAATTGCAGCTTTAAATGTCGCCTTTTGTGTGTGGTTACGTGAGGCCCTATCTCTAGATCCCAAAAACCCCTTACAGCCGGAATTCCGGCAACGCATGTGCAACTCGTCTGTTGTTGTCCATGGGCAGCGTCGATTGCTTAACATCAGGTAACCCCTCAGCTCGTTTGAGACACAAACAAAGTTTACAAAAGAAGTACCGAGTTTAGTTGCTAATCAATTTCATATTTGACGTGGTCGTCGTATTGTTTCTTAATAAATCATCAACTTTCTCTAAAACCGAATCTTTCCTACATTATTTTGCACTTGGCTTAATATTTGCGGTAAGATGCATACGTCACACATTATCTTAAATAGTTTTAGAAAAAAAATAGATTATAAAAAGTAAACATTACCTTAGAACAACTTGCAATTGCTCATGAATAACTATTAGCAGTGGTACTTACATACAAAAATAATGTATAATATTATCAAAAGATAGGTATGAAAAGATTTTTCTAATTACGCCTTAAAAATGTAAACAATTCTTAATGTTTACTCAAGTCTTATATCAGATTTGTGTGTGAGTGTGGATCCATGTTTGTGTGCTGACAACAGTTACGTATTATTACGTTGTGAAACACATGCACAGGGTGACACTGTGTTTGTGTTAGTTTAGTGTTTGTTAATTGTTCTACGTCTTGCAGGATATTACGATAAGTTGGGTAAACTGGATACTTGTACGTCACAATGTGAGGTATTTCTAACAAATTGGGATAATCTCATTATTAATAAGAATAAAAGCACTCATAAAGACGTTATACTATTCTTTTTCCAATAGTAGCTTTTCGACCTGATAAATGATACTAGTTTTATTATTGGATATAGCCTGCTTCGTTGGCCGAACACGATGTCAAGTTTCAATTCGCCAGTTGATCGAAATTTGTTAAGGTCTGGTGGTCACCTTCTATTACATAGGACTTGTAACATGTCTGGCAAAAATTGACCTAACCGTTCCGCTAAGAATTAGTGTGTTTAACGTAGCAGGTACAGAAAAAGCAACTTACTCGTGGAAACTTCATGCACTCATAGTTTCCGAAGCAAACGACGACTTTTTGGTGGTATGTTGCCCTGCAGATGCAGCCAGACGTCCAGTCCTTGCCGAGCTGGATGGGAAGCTCCTCCGTCTTATCATCCTTGGGATACAAGAAGTTGCTGGTGAAGTCTTTGTATTCATCCATAAGGTTGGACCTTGCGTATTGAGCGTAACACAGAAGTAGCCAGATGTAGCGAGCTATTGACATTTCTTCTTTTCTGGAACAGAAGAGAAACGTTTTGTCAGAAGAGAATATGATATCTAAGATTTAGACATTTTGTTTGATACAGGGTATAACAATAGACTAAACCTATAAATGAAAGCCCTACTACATATTTTCTGACTTCGATTAATTCTAAAATACCAACTAGCACAGCATTTTAATCTACATAAGCATGCATATGAATAACACTAATAAAATCCGGTGATATCCCTCCATTATCACTTGGAAAAATGTATTTGAATCTCTCTTTAACACTTTACCGCCATAGAATTAGCGTATATGCGACACTGTCAACATTATCTATTGTTTTTCAAATATTTTCCGTAAATTCTTTGTCAATGTTATTGTAGGATCCGGTGTGGAAATGCAAAACAGTCTCCGACAATGTCTGGCGCGTGTGGGTTAAACCCTATAACTAGCTGCATCATTCAGTACATAGGTAATAATAAAGGCATATCTATTCAGTTATTTATAAAATACTAAATGCGTATCACATCACACAACTTGTTACGGAAAATGAATGATTCTTCTTTAAGATAATTTTGTAAATGGCAAAGTTTGTGTAGGACTGACGAAGTAAAATTGATTGGAATTTTAATCATCAATATTCTGTTCTACTCAAAGGATACCCACTCTTTACAAGTAAGGAAATAACAAGAAACTGAAAAATTCTTTAAGTAAAAGAGATTCCTTGTTCGAATAACTAGTTGTGGATGAATTCGTGTTAGAAGTTAGACAACATTAAATGAATTATTTATTGAAGGCTGCGTTGTGCAAGTAGCATCATTTTCAAATCTTCCACAGCATATATTTTGATTTGTGAACCACAACGCGAGTACGTAATCTAAAGTAAACTGATAACACAGTGACGTTGGAGGCTGATCAAACACCAGCTTCTAATTGATGGCAATGTGGGTTAATTGCGATTTCATTTGAATTCATTAGTTTTAAGGATCCAGTTATATTTTGCCTAGAAACAATCTAACATATTTGTAAAGTCAATGTAAATTGTATTGTATCAAAGGAAATAGGGGTATGATAAGACGAAAATATTGTCTAAGGTTAGGAATGATACGAATGAAAGAGTGAGATCTGATGTCGTATGATGTTTGTATCTAGGTAAGGCAAGAATAAGAAGGTGGAAGTTCCATCCCCATAATAGAGGATGGTTAGCAGAAAAAAACACTGCATACACGAAAGCAGTTGCTTCAAAGCAAAACTGTAGAATAAAATGTCACCAATGGTATTTCCCATTTCAATGCAACCTTCAAGAAATTAGCGTATTCATTGTGACTGTGTGAATTCTATGTTGCAGATGTCAATCGACAAGTTTAATCATTTACCATCAGGTAAACAGACTACCTACTAGACCGCATCTGTTCTAAAAAGAAATTTAAGAAAAAACTGAACTAGTGTTAGAATTTGAATAAATTGAAAAATAATTTGAATCATCAACAGCAAATTTCAAAATTTTAATGGTCATTAACATCTCTAAGAAAATGAAGATCTAGTTCAAAGGCTTATGACAGAATCAAAGAATAAGAACCTTGATCAATCTTTTTAGTATTCGATGAATGTGTTCATGATCTAGTAAATTCTATAATATCTTTCATTGGTACACTTTTATAGTAAACCTGACAGTGAACACGTCAACAATGACGCAGACTGTTTCGCTGGAGACTCGCTTGTTTATTTATTTAGCAACATCGTGCAAATTTTGTCGTCCATTTGGGAATGAAGGAATAATAGATTCATTTGCTAGTAACTAAGAACGCGTGTACCAACAAGATGTACTGAGAAACTTGTTTCAATTTCTACATTCTGATTTGTGAAGGACATCGGACTCTAAGCAGAGCAGTGACTAAACCAATACCTATGTTTACTTATTGACAACAATTCTTAAAAGCTTTTGAAGTCTTGAAATTGTGGTGGTTACTTAGATGGGCGTAAGCCGTAGTCTTTTAAAGTGACGATACTAGCACTATTGAATTCAATTGTATTTTTTTTAATCCCATATTGTGTTTAAGTAGAAATTATATTGTTTAGGACATTGTTGGATTAAGAAGTAAGGTTGCAGAGATAAGTGTTTTAAAACCGTGATGCGCATTTCTAAATGCAGATACACAAAGTTGACACAGCTTTGTTATGAAGACGTGTTTCTACATGTCCATAGATTTTAATACAGTTAGTTTGTTCTGAGATTTCTGTAAGGAAATTTCCTTCCTACTTATGCCAACACAATTTGCTCTATTTCTACTTGGCTATGAGATATTAGTATGGGGTTTTATGTACAAAGAAGTAAATAGACTTAAGTGATAACCATAGCACACGCCCGAAGAGGGCCCACAATTTGCACAAACAATTAGTTTGAATAAAATTCGTGACTGAAACGTGAAATGTAGGCGTTCTGGCTGTCATGCGAGAACGTCGTGAATATGTATTACATGTAATGATATTTATCTTATTAATAACTGAATATAACTAGTATAGAAATAAACTATGTGATCATCACCTGGGAAAAAGAAACCACGACGGAACGTTTTGTTCAATTAGGGTTTCTTGCGACAAATCTGAGGACTACTAAGTCTTTGATTCCTAAGACTAGAAGAGAAGAAAGCATCACTTTTATGTGAAAACTGTTAACAACCTCATGAATTGAATTTGTTCTGCCTCACTCAGAGAAACTTTAAGGGGCTTGGCAACTTTTGGCTTTCAACTGACCACTGGCTTGTGGTAACATTTGCCATGCGTTAAGAATCTCACCGATTGTTGATAAACAAACAACATTTTGTGGTTTAAAACTGTTTATAATCATTTTAAGGTCAAGTTAAGAATGACGTTTTCATAATAATGACCTAATTGGAAAAGCACAGGTGACATATGTACACTAAGATTTACAACAATTGTAACAATTAAGAAGTTTCAAGTTGGATCAGCTAGAAACAATGAATTTTGCAATAAAACACAAATAGAAATAGCGACAAACCTTCAAGACGATGTAATGTGCACACGGTGTATCTGGTAATGTGAACAGCAAACACGACGCCGACTGACGCCATTCGATTGTATTACACAACAACCTCACTGCCAACTAGGAACCACCAGGAACCACACTCAACCCTCAAGGCATAGCTCACCACAAACTCTATTAGGAACGGTCACTACAAAGCTTCTTCAAGACTTGGTAACCACGTACGAACAGTTCGGCAGTTGGAACAAAACTCGCCGTGTTTGTCCGAAGATTTTCGCGTTTATTCGTCATTGGCTGCGATATTTACATGTGATAACTACAAAAGATAACGAACCGCCAACATCTCAATGTACCGAGAATTACAGCATGTTCATGGATCTGAAAATTGTTGTGAACTTGAAGATAACTGGACATATAACGTGCAGTTTCGTTGCTCGGGGTTTACTAAAAATATGTGCTAATTCAATAGACACGAAGAGAAAACGTTTTGCGCGTGTGCTTAGGTCCGAGGTTGCAACGTTTTTGGTACATTATCATTTTTTGTAATCTTGATTAGAATATAACTCAAGTTTGTCATCTTCTGGAGTTTTTGATTGTTTGCCTATCTTTAGGTAGTTTAACTATTAAAAGTTGAACATTAAAGTGTAAACTAAAGCAGAAAATGGAACAGTCTGGGAAATGACATTTACGAATCGCTAATTTTCCTGTCTCGGTTTGCTTTTTAAATCAAGCAATTGAATATTTTGAAAACATAGATTGTAGTTGCAATTTTCCGTAAGTGCGTAGGTATTCGCTTTTTGGGCAATCCCCAACAAGCAAGAAGTTGGAAGTTTTGGTACAGGATTGAAGAAATGGCAAGGGCATAGGCATCTGGCGCCAGACACATGATGTAAAAAGTGTGTTCTTGCCAACAGAACTGCATGAGTAGTATAAGATTTCGCACAAAGGGGATTGATGTTCACGGGTTTACCTAAGTTTGGGCAAGCATAGAAATAAGGCCTTTTTCAGTTCCAGCCTAAGCACATCGCACAAAGAAACTCTATCCCGGAGGCGTGTCTGTCGTGCAGTTTTACCCAGAGCGGTCCACTTCACCGCCAGTCGTTCATTAAACTCGGTTCGGCCACTTGCCTTCCTTGCGCAGCTTACCTGGGATATTTGAATGTCCTAGGAGATTTTTTATAAAGGTCGTCCTCCTTGTTATCCGGACAGTTAAGCCGGATACAATTTCTGCCCCGGCCCCGATGCAGCTCGTTGGAGGAGTGAGTCGGGAACGAGCGCCGCCCTTGTTCCTCAGCCACATTATCAGCTAGATCCAGAGAATCGTGTGGAGGAACTCCCCCACGGAGGAACATACAGAGCTTCTGGAACCTTCAAGTTACCTTGGGGTGAGCGTCACTCTAACCCTTTAGGGAAACTGCCACTGTCGGTTCGAAATCGTCTTGAGCAAGCGTGGTGATTAGTGTTCAAGCCTTCTCCGTGTGAGAAGAGGCAATTGCTTATCAATGGAAAGTTATAGGCTACTAATGTAATAAAACAATGGTACTGAACTCATAATTAATTTTGCAATAATAATAACATATTTGCATGTTTGCTTTGCTACTTTTAACTTATTTCTAATGCAAACTGCATTAAAAATAAGTTAAAAGTGAGAATGGCGTTGATCTTCTTTTTTTTATCTAATAGGTCGGCAAACGAGCAGTCGGATTACCTGATGGTAAGCAATCAGCGCCGCCCATGGACACCCGCAACGGAGGAGTTACGAGTGCGTTGCCGACCTTTTAGGGATTAGGGATTTGGAGATTAAGGAACTGGGGAGGGATTGGGAAGGGGAAGAATTGGGCCTCCGGTAACCTCACTCACACGGCGAAACACAACACTGTGGTTGTTTCACGCCGGTTTTCTGTGAGGCCGTGGTATCACTCCGGTCGAGCCGACCCATTCGTGCCGAAGCATGGCTCTCCCACACTTCTATTGTAAAACTATGATGTTTCTAGTATTCTAGCCCTCGAATGCGTTTTGTTTTGTGTTCTTTCAATATTTGTTACTGTCTCACAGTGTTCACTCGTGCTTATACACTAATCTGTCGCCTCTTGGGGCCTCAAATTTAAAACCAAGTTTCCTTTCAATGTTAACTTTAGGATTACTTTACGTAACATATTTTCAACAAACTAACGAGGTTTAGGTAAAAAGGTAACGTAGGAGCGTTTTCATCTTCAAGTGCTTTCCCTGTGTCCTAGCCATAAAAGTACTCAATGTGTTCAAGTTTCATCAAGTTACCCAGTAGTTTTTAAGTGAATGAGCAACACTTCACAAACTTTTACTTTTAAAATATTAATAGTACTTAGAATACATTTTCTGTATAACGCAAAACTTTTTTTACATAATGAAATGAAAAGTTTTTTTACAATTTACCACTTCACTTCACTACGACCTTTTGTTTTATGATTTTGGTATTATTGAAGTTATACCTTTTTCTTTCACCACTTAAAATGTATTGCATTCTGCTATACGTTTTACAAGTTAAAACTCCATAAATTATTTTGTGTGTGAAGGAATGAGGTGTCAGCTAACTTAATGTATAAATAATAATGGTCTCGCGGCAGTAGGTTCGATTCCGCGAAGTGTCGATATCGCTCCAATTAACGCGTCGTTCGCGGAGCTCCCTTTATGTCACTCAGTCTGACGACCAGCGCACGCGCAGGTAGCGGGACGTGCTCGCTTTCTTTTATAAATTCGATCGGAACCTACTTAAAAATCTAGATATTAATACTTGGAGAAAACATGGTGAACTTATAATCTATTTCTCCATTTAGCTATACTAGCAATACATATGTATAATTACCTACTATCACTACACAGTACAAAACAAATTCGCTTCCTCTGTCCCAATATCCCTATGTATACTTAATTGTTAAAAACCAGTAACTATTTTTAATGCAGTTTTTTTAATAGATAGAGTGATTGAAGAGTAATGTTTATATTTAAAAATGAGCTTAGTCCCCACCGTAAGGCTCCCGCGGTGTGTTTGCACAAATACGGTTATTTTTTACCCTTGCGCGTGCGCCGACCTGCTTTCTCCTACGATGGGATCGCTATATTTTATATTATGCATTCAATTATAAACATTTACCATAGGTCGGTGGCAAGTGCTCAAGTGCATTAGTATTTTAGCTTATACTTATAGTACTTGCCTTAGGACCTAAAAGGAGCTGCAATATTAAACTCATTGATACTTTACCATAAAATAGATAAATAAAAATAATCTCGAAATCAGCTAAGTAACTACAATTAATCGATAAGCCGATGAAACATAACACCTGTATTCATATATTGCTTCTAATTGAACTACCGTACTGCTTAGAAATAGGGCTATGTTTTGCCAAACATTTTACAACAGTCATATCTACTTGTGTAAAAAGACTTTTTTTATCGGCGAAAAAGATGAAACTAAATAAAAAAGCCATGTAACAATAAGTATAAAACATGTATTTTTAATTTACATAGGTGAAGGCAATGCCGCAGACAGGTTCTTGATCAGCTCGTCCATCTGAATGAGGTTGATCCTCGCCTGCCGGTTCAGACGACCTTCTGGCAACTCGGGAGGCTCATGACGCAGAAGCTGGGCTGATTCTAACAGGATCTTACGGGATTCCTGTGAACAAAAATGAAATTTAGTTTACGCATTCTTCTTTAAATGGTCTTGGAATTAAACGAAGTTATTACATATATTAGTGGTTTAATGAGAAGAGCTGAACATTGAGCTCAGTGGCGTGCAATTGGGGAGGCCTATGTCCAACAGTGGACGACAACAGGCTGATGATGACATATATTCTGCTACACATAGCGAATTAATGCCATTCCTGAACCAGATTTGACAGTATTGGTAACAAAAAAAACACACCGGAAATAAAATTAATGATCCAAGGGCATGAAAATTATTTTTGTTCCCTTTAAAGTTTAAACTGCAAGTATCAAATTTTAACAGACGGGGCCCCATAGGGCTGATGTTCAGCCGGGGTTGCGGGGTAAGCGCAATGAGGCACTCTGACCTCGGCCTAGAGCAGGAGTAGGAACAGGGGGTTTTTAGTCAGTAAGAGTCTGACACTCCCTCCCACCCCACCCTGAGCGGGAGAAGTCATTTGATAATTTTCCCCTCACAAAATAAAGTATCAAATTTACTATAAATTGAGTCCTTTTTCTCTTTTTATTGGGTAGGTTGGTAAGCGAGCAGATGGATCACCTGATGGTAGGCAATCTGTGCCCCCAGAGACACGCACAACGCCAAAGAAGTTCCAAGTGCGTTGCCACCTTTTTGTGGTGGTTGGGGATTTGAGCATTGGGGATGGGAGGTGGAAAGGATTTGATGCTTTGGTAACAGCATTCATCCGGCAAAACATAACGCATCGGTTGTTGCAAGCAGGTTTTCTGCATAGCCGTGGTCTCCAGTCTAGATGGCTGATTAGTGCCTTAGCATGGCTCTCCCACACTCATTTAGTCCTAAAGGATGGCAATGAAATGTTTTATTAATTTCCACTATACTAGTCATACTTTCATCAGTATCTTCCGTCATATCCTTATTGCATTAGTATAGTGCTCGGATTGTTTGTTTTAGCTACAAGATACAACAGATTTATTTTGCTTCGCTTCGTTAGCTACAATGATAAACATTTTACAATCCACTATAAAACTAATTAGACTCCGCTAAGACAAAGACAACACATTCATTATTATTTTACGACACGGCCGGCATTTATTTTTAATTTCTCTGAGAGTTTCGAACTATTCTCATATTTGTTATTTTATTACATTTGCGTGTCTCCCACACTTGCACATCACACAAAAAGTTCAAAACAAGAAGAATCAGTGTCAGTATTTCGGGCGAGTAACTGGAGCGAGCCGTGGTCCAGTTGCTGGCGCGAGTAGACACGTACAAGACTGTTTTTGTTTGCGATGTGATGTCAATGGATTCACCGGTTGAGTTGTTATGGCACTAGCATCGGTTGATGGTGGCGTGCTAGCTGCGCTGTGCTTACGTACTTTTTATCAAGCACGCGTTTTGAATGCGTGATGGCATTCTTTAGTACCTCTCTATTATTTTGGAACGATAGATCTATATTATTAAAGAGATATTACCGAAGCCTAAAAAAGCTTCTTTGATGAACGGTTGGTTACAAAAAGGACCCATGTTTCTTGATTCGTTTGACCACAAAACAAACTATCTGAACTAATTCGATTAATTTTTGTTGACTAATGATTACCTAAGCATTTTAACATTATGTGGTCGCGTGCTTTGTCTTAAGATAAGTTTTATATGGGAAATAACCAGTTGAGCGCTTAGTGACGCATGCACATATACGTCGCGTCGGTAGAATTAATTCGTGGTCATCAGCATGGATGACTTCTCACACCTTGGATGCATGCGGTGAGAGGGAGTGTCAGACCCCTATTGACTAAAAACCACCTCGTTCATGCTCCTGCCCCAGACTGGAGCCGCGGGATGTTATAGCGCTGGAGCCACAGTTAAAGGTAATTTCTAATTGTTTTTAGACACCACTGAGAAACAGTAAAGGAAATCATCGTGTGGAAACCTGGACTTAATAATTTCTAGTTACATATGTATAGTTGTAAATCGCCAATCCGCCTTGAGCAAGCGTATCAATTGATTATTAATATTTAAACCATCGCCGTGTGAGATGTCTTTGCTCAGCAATTGGCTGATGGTGACAGAAGCTACTGATACAATCAACTACAACACTAACTAGTAAAGAATATAACTACACTTCTTTTTATTATTTCGGAGTTTAGTAAGTACTTCCAATAGTTGTGAGTATTTTCACATTGATTTTAAGATGGCACTCTTAACTATGAACGTGTTATAGGTTTTTTTTGTGAGGGGAAAATCATCAAATGACTGCTCCCGCCCAGGGCCGGGCAGGAGGGAGTGTCAGACTCTTACTGACTAAAAACCCCCCTGTTCCTTCTCCTGCTCTGTGCCAAGGTCGCGGTGTCTCATTGCGCTTACCCCGCAACCCCGGCTGAACTTGTTATAGGTTGCAAATTGCATTACATAATTGTGATTTTACTAATAAAGTTTTCGTTATTATAATTATTACTGGTTTCTTAAAGTCATTGACTGCCGACACCTGAGGACTCTGTCGAGGGCAAATCCGCGGCTAGCGTAACTTGACTCCCATGTTGTCTCCCATAGCGTCGTATGTGTCACCAAGGGGGGCTCGGCATTATCCAATAAAGGATAATATAATAACGTGGATGTGTTTAGCAGACGGCTTAGGGATTGCTAATATGGACATCAAAGGGTATGTTTTGTTAATTATGTATGCCTGCCTGCCATGGGGTTTGCATCCTGGCATGTACCAATGTCCTTGTGACTTATTCCGAGTTATATGTACTTTCTATGATTATTTAGACACCATTGGCTTATGGCGAAGGAAAACATCGTGAGGAAACCTGGACTTATAATTTCTAACTATTTGCTGCCAGTCCTTCCACCTCTGGAATATTTTTCAGAATTCATCGACAGACTAATTTTGAAATTAATGAAAACATTGAAACAATAGACTATCTTATTTAGCCTAAAATAAAATTCATTATAGTCACAGTGCACGTGATATTGTGACATCACATTCTGTTTGTTTACATTACTAAGGTTATGTATTCAATGATAATATGTCTAGTCCCGCCAAAGCAGAGACGTAAGACATTGTCCACCCGTTTTTACGATCACAACAAATGTTTGGAAGTCCCAATTGTAGTGTTTTCCCTTGCGTAACTTTTATGATAGTGGAGCCGCCATCTTTAGGCTGAATTAAGAAGCATAACTATCTGCGCTGACGTACAGTTATGAGTTAAGTAATGTTTGTGTTGATACTGAATCTTGTAGGTATGCGCTATATAAATATTATTTCCACTAATGAAACTGTTTCTCTCAGGGACTAGTGGATGTAGACGCGGTTTATTATCATTTTCCAATCCGGAATTTTGTAAATGGAACACGTGTCAAATTCTGTTAACTAAGTAAATAATGAAAACTATATAGGACTAGATAAAACTGGTACAAGTCAACCATCTAGTTATATATCCTCTTACCTACATTAATTCTAAGGGATGATGAGAAAGGTTGAAATTAACAATTTCAATCATACATTATTGTAAATTACTTCTCTATTTAGTTACCAGTTTTAAACACACATAAACATTATCATCATCATCAACATCATCAGCCTATAAAGTGCCCACTGCTGAGCAAATGCCTTTTTAATTTTAAATGCCCTTCAAAAATCTTATCACATGGAAAAAGTGGCTTGCTCATGGCGGATTGGCGATTTTTAATTTATAATTGGAATTTGTAAGTCCACATTTCCTCACAATGTTTTCCTTCACCATTTGTCAGTGGTGTCTTAATACTCATAGAAAGGACGTACATACCTACATATAACTCTACGAGATACTCGGAAGAAGACACATTCGTACTCGACAGGTTTCGAATCCACACACTCATGTATCAGAAATGGGCGCCTTAACCCTCGCGCCACCACAATTAAACACATAATGTGATAAAATTATTAAAAAAAACTTAATAACTTACGGTGACATAGCCCAGTAACGTCAAAGGTCCGTCAGTAAGCGCCTGCCTGCGACCTGTCTCCGCCACTGCAGCGTGCAGCTCAAACAGCAACGTGCCACGGAGACGAGTTTCAGCTGGGACAAACAAAAAATAATATCACATAAATATATACACATACATACATAATACCTTCCCCATTTTTCAGATAATACGTTGTATGTATGGAGTGAATTTGTGTATTGTTTAAAAAAAACGCTCCAATTTGCAATCATAACATTTCACACACATGTGTTTCGTGTTATTCAAATTATAGTTGCTAGATACAGTACTGAACAACTAGTTTACCTTACTTATGTGGTAACTAAGTCTTTTTCATTATATCCACGTAAATAATTATTATTACACAGATCCCTAACAACTAGATCACGCTTACCAGGAGCCAAAGTCTCGAGTAGTTCCCCAATCTTTTTACAAAGCTGTGTTTTGAGGAGGAGGCGGTCGTCTGTCACCATCGCCAGACCCTGCTCCACCTCCTGACCTATCATCTGTGCTAGCGCCAGACTCACGTCTATCATGTAGAAGTGGGAGGGATGGAGGTAGCCGCTGCAGTGTGCTATAAACCTGGAGAAGGAGTTAGGGAGCTTGAATAAGTATATTTTTGGCTAAACTTTATCGGCTTCGTTTCTTAATTACTTGTCTGTTAAAATGTTTCAAAATTAAACGTTTCTTACTCACTTACTCATCAGTGAATGAATTAACAGAGAAAAGCTCAACTAGTTTCAAGTTACAACGGGACTCTTAATTATGAGCAGCGTGCACGTCACAGTATTGTTTATCGACGAATGTCATGAGAGTAAATGTTAGATATTACTTTCATTATGTGTAATTGTACGGCTAGGAAACATTTTGATATAAGAAGCTTTTTCTGACTCACTAGTATTCATCATCTATACGATTAGTCAAAAAACTATGTACTGGATCCATCTATAAAGTTTATACAAAATATTACTACAACCAATTTATTTGTTGCAAACCTTTCACAAGCCTCTGGATCTCCCTTCGGCATGATGCTGAGCTCTCTTCCGATATCCTGCACCAACTGTTGTATGATGGCATCAGACACTGAATCCTGGCAGGAGTTACACTTCCAGAATTTGTTGTCCAAGTTACGGGTCTCAGGGTTGGGGTTCTTCGTCTTGTGTAATATAGGGACAATGAAGGTGTCTGGTAAAAGGTAACCCTTGCAGTCTCTGAATAGAAAAAACACAAGGAGTCTATCAATTCGCCTGTCCACATTTTCATTAGTGGATAGAATAATTACTAGATGAACGACAATTACGAATACCAATAGTATGAAAGTCTTGTTCTATTTACTGCTATGTTCCTCTGAATAAATATGTATGTTTCACTGTTCTCACATAATCGATCAACCAACTTAATAATGTGCCAAAGAATCTGTATGTGAAACTTATTTAAAAAGAGTAACGATGGAGCTATTTGCTCGTTCTTCTCCATCCGAAACTACACTTTGGAACTAGAAAATAGCTTCACTAAGAGGACTGACCGACAGAATGACGAGTTTTCTTCTTAAGTTTTATTTGACGTTCAAAATTACCTGTTTAAGGGTCTAATCGAAATAAATGATTTTGAATTTCACTTTGACACAAATGTCATTTGCAAAACATCAAGATCTAATAGGATTTCTCGAAAAAAGCAAAGCAATTTGTAGGCTTACTTCTTCTTGCACTTGACAGCGCTGTACATGGTTCCTAGCTCGGTGACATCAGAACAGCGTTCACAGGTACACTCGAAGAACTTGGAGTCAGCGAGGTGATGGCGCCGTGCTTCTGTACCCCACATGGGGTCCGTATAGCATACGGTGATGTGGGACCCTGAGGAGATGTTGACGCCTGCGCAGAGAATCTGAAACATGCAAAGTCATTTGTTCTGGTTCTAATTGGGTAAGAGATAACATCTGGCTTTAAAGTGTGCGACATGCTTTGGCGTGAATGGGCTGACTCGACTGGAGTCATCACCACAGGCTCGAAGAATACCGGCGTGAAACACTTCCGTTGTGTTTCGTCGTGCGAGTGAGGTTATTAGAAGCCCAATCCTGCGTGCCCACATCCTCAATCCCCATATATACTGTTCTTATAACTAACAAAGGGTCGGCAACGCACTTGCTACTCCTTTGGACTTACGAGAGCAGCGTCTATTGCTTTCCATCGAGTAATAGTCCGTTTGCTTGTTTGCCAACCAATCCTATAAAAGAGAAATAATATGCCATCTTACTCCGAATCTCAATAAATTCTCTTAGCTTATTCTATGCCCGCCAGCCAGCTGGGAAGCAAATATTTAACTTTGTAGGTAACAAATCTACGTACAATGTCTCCCTGCGAAGTAAAACTCTTGTTGCAGTTGGCGCGGCAGTTGTGCTCCACCATGGAGATCCGGTCGAACAGCGCAACGTACTCCGGCTCCAACAGCGGCACCTCGTGACCGTTGATCTGGAACGTGGCCATTTATTATTTCGTTAAAATCAATAGAGATATCATTTAACATTCGTGTGCATCAATGGCTTAAGAATATTATAAAGCATTTTGCTTGTTATCTCCTTTGTCAAGATTATGTCTCAGGCTCGATTTAAAGTTTTAATAAAATTTTAAGTTTTTTTTTATATTTTTGATTGAGAAATCTATCCTAATTGAATGTGCCCATAAAAACTATTACAGTGAATTTGTGTCACATGTAACAACTTGTTAAAAGAAAATAATAATAATAAGTCAATTTTCTACTCTCTCACCTGCAGAATACCGCAGCATTTCATGATCTCCTCCTCGCTGAAGGTTCCCTCCAACTTAAAGAACTTCCAGATGAAGTCGGCTACCATCTTCTTATCATTGTTCCACTTGTCAGTGTTCTTCCTGTCTTCACAATGTGACTGCAGAGCCTGGATCTTGTCCCACAACTTTTTGTTGTGGTCACGCTGGTACAGGCAGCGAAGGACTGTGATGCACTGGTAATTCGGATGAGGAACCCCAAATGTGGAGATGTTTACCTAAAAAAAGTTAAGTCATAATTAGTCAAACCTGGTTGTAAGCAATCAGCACCTACCATGGACACTCGCAACAAACGTTATCGATCTTTTGGGGATTAGGGTTTTGGAGATTATGATTGTTTCACGCCGGATTTCTGTGGGGCCGTGGTATCACTCCGGTCGACCCAACCCATTCGTACCAAAACACGGCTTTTCCACACTTCAATTCTTAGAGACTATAGGGTACCTACTCCGTATCATTTTGAGTTATCTGTAACTATTATAAAACTTTGAAATGTGTGGTGCTATATCACTTACCTTCTCTCCTCTCTGTTGCGTATAATGACACTCAGGGTCGTGCTCTTCTTTGAGAATGCAGTCTGCAGAACAGAAAGGCCAGCCACACTTCTCACATGATACGATCTTGCCTTCCTCCAGCAGCTTGTAGCAACCAAGACAGACTGGCGGAGTCACCTGGTCATGATAAAAATGTATTAGTAGTCATCAACCATGTATACAGTTATTCAGACAAGATATTTACAAATAATATATTGTTTAATTCTAAGTAGATATGTATAAGCGTGACTGCTCCCATCCAAGTTCCAGCCTAACATCGCAATGAGCAGTAAAGTTGTCAACGGAGAGCGGTAGGAAGAGCTAGCTAACCACAACGATAGGAAGATAATAGCCAAGTCTTCTATGAGGGTCTAACTAGGGTACATAAGGAGGTCTTTTAAATATATTTAGATTTATTATAAGTACCTGTGCTGGTCCAGTTATAAGAGGCTTCTCTTTCAGCACGATATCTCCAGCCTTAATATCCCTGGTGGCTTCAAGGTATCTTCCATACTTCTCATTCTCCTTCACCCTTGCAGGGGTACACTGGAACTTGTGTTGCTTCCAGTCCTGTTTCTGGTGGTCTTTGGAGCAGTAGTGCACATTCTGGCAACCAGAACATTTCTGGATTGCCGGAGACAAGCACACTATACAGGAGCCTTGTTCTACCATTCTGGAAATAATGGGGAAAACTATAAGAATGTGGTATTCTTTGAAATTTCTAGGTTAAAGTAATACTCTAATGATCCTTAGTCTAAACTAAACAAGATAATAATACTAATGAAGATTATAACTCCTTGTATGTTGTATTACATTATTATGACGTGCTGTTTATTGACCCATATACATACAACAGTTCAAATTGGTTTTAAGAGTATTTGCTGCATTGAATACATCAGGCGCTACATCTCATCTATATGCCTGATTGATCATTTATTTGGTGGATTTTATTAGTTAAGAATCAGGTACGTATACTTTCAACGTAGTCCGATAACCGGGACTAAACTGTGAAACGTGTATTGTGTTACATTTTCAAAGTGATGCATCACAATTGAGCTATTAATATCAATAATAAAAAAAACTGTATTGTAAATATAAAATTAATATACTTACTTGTTAATCCTTACAATCCCATGTATTAAACACTATAAAAATAACACATCTAACAGATTTTATCTAAAAACACCTCAAATTTGACGAAATATCTCCCATGTGCGATACAGCGCACCCGGCTGACTGACCGGCGCACGCGCATCTGCGCATGCGCGGTATAAAAATAAACCGCGCGATTTGACACTTGAAACTATACCCGTATTCCTGAACATACATATTATGTTTTGATGCAACTGAAATATATTTCATCAAACCCCAATCGAATGCTGGCGTTCGCACACCTATTGTCCTTCTATATCTTTATTTCATAAACGGAATTTAGGTATCTGATTGTGACGAATTGTGACTGTGTTGACAATGTGGTTATTCATTTTAAATTGTCGAGGTAATATAAAACATTTATTAATAAAAAAATAATTCATTTATTTACTGTGCTATGTCATCATCAGTATTATTTTTTCTGATCAGCCGAAGTTGCGGTGTACGGGTAAAGAGGTACCGCGGCTGCGGCCTGGTGCAGGACAAGGAAGAAAGTTTTAGTCAGTAAGAGTCTAAACACTCCCTTTCGTCCCACTCTGGGTGAGAGAAGTCTTTGATGATTTTTCCATTACAAAAGAAACTTTTTTTATGGTATATATAGGTTGGCAAACGAGCAGACGGATTACCTGATAGTAAGCATCAGCATCGGCCATGGACGCCCGCAAAGGTTTCATATATTTAAGGTTTTGGAAGAGATGGGGGGAGGGGGAGGGATTGGGCCTCCGACAACCTCACTCACGGCGAAATACAACGCTGTAGTTGTTTCACGTCGGTATTCTGTGAGACCGTGGTATCAATTCGGTCGTACCGTCGCATTCGTGCTGAAACCTTCAGCTCTCCCACACTTGAATAACTAAATATGTATAGCTATTTCACTTTCTAATGTTAATAAAGATGTTTTTTTTTCGCACTGCACTAAAATAGCAATCTATTGTGATATTATATTATTGCAATCACATGATGCTTGTAAAATATTCTATTAGTTTCGAGGGCTCTTATATCGATTACCTACAGTAATTTTGGAATTCATCGATCTGAGGGCTTTTTTTTAATTTTTATTTAGAAGTCATGATGGCTTTTGCAATTGTTAACTAACTTCCAAAGTAATTAATGTAAACCTCTAAATATGTATATGTATACGCACTAGCTTTTGCCTGCGACTTCGATCCCGTAGAATAGTGACTTCCTGCAGATTTTTGGTTTTACCCACATGGTTTCTGATCTCGCGGGATTTTTGGTAATTCCCCGCTCCCTCAGGATTTTCGGGATAAAACTATCCTATATCCTTTCTCGGCTTCCAAAGTATGTCTATACCATATTTCACAAAAATCGGTTCTATAGTTCAGTAGTTTAGGCGTTAAGAAAAGACAGACAGACAGAGTAACTTTTGCATTTATAATATTAGTTTGAATTATTGTAACACAAAAAATCTCTAGGTTCTATATCTCTTTACATATCGTGAGAAATACAATATTTTTTTTATTTTCGAAAATAACCACTTACTCGCGTGAATTAACTGCAGAGATAAGCTCTAGTAGTTTCAAATCACAACGTTGGCTGCGCACGCTGCTCATAAATAAGAGTCCCGTTGAGACTTCAAACTAGTAGAGCTTTTAAGAAAAGCTTTTCAAGCCAGTTCATTCACGTGAGCAGGTCAATTTTTTTGTCAATACGAAAATATATTTGTTTTAAAAAAGCCAATCATAGGAAGACATATTGTGCGGTCATATCTGATTCACGCTGGCCTGATCTTCAGTCTATTCGAAACAACTCTTGGATGGACAGGAAGTACAGGAACTGTCGGCATTGCTTTGAAAACCTCAGAATGAAGAATTTTGGGGGTACTATAGACGTATACATATATGTAGATGTGAAAATCACTTTTAAAATGCATATTACTGCATTTCATAATAAAGAATCCGAGGGTTACAATTACCTGTATGTAAGAAAATAAAACAAAACACATAAATCTTCAAATAATTTAATTTAAATGCTAAATTAGTTTGGAGAGGGTTAAAACAATAGTTTACAAAAATAATTCACACTTATAATGTCTTTTAGTGGAAGGAATGAATAGATAAATGTTTCACAAAAATATATTATTATTTACCGACACTTTTATATCATAATTAGCAATAGTATATAGTATTTTTAATAGGCAATAAGTAACATTATATATTATTAGTAAAAATAGAAATTAAACGTTAAAAAATAAGTTATAAATTATAAGTAGGTACGTTAAAAATAATGAGAACATTAAAGGTTATACCGATATAAATAATTAATTTTTTTAAAAATAATTTAGGGGAATAAGATTATATAAGTATCCTTAATTTAAAGAATTTCACAATCGTATACTTTTTACATAACGTTCCTAATTCAAAAATAGAAATGAAAACTTTAATACGGTAAATGTAAAAATAGTTTTAACTAATACCAACTCAATTAAGCTCTTCTCATATTAGTTTTAAACCTTATAATATCGATTTAGTATTTTAAGAAGAAAAAAGTATAGAAATAAATTATTTGTACTTAACCATAAAATAAATAATTTAATTTACAAAAGCAACTTGAGTAAGAAGCTCATCGCCCCATTAGTCATCCACCTTCACTTTCGATGATCAGACATCATCATGATATCTTCCCAATAATCTGTTCCCATGTTTTGATCTTCTTGAGAGCATCCCGCGCTGCTGTCGCCATTAGACCCTCGGAGGATTGCGATGGCTCAAAACCAAGTATAAGTGCTGCTTCCGTGAGATATTTGACGATCTGTGAAAAGAAAATAGAATTATGTCCAAAAAAAAAATTCAATGAGACCCTTTTCTAGTGAGGGGAAAATCATCCAAGGCTTCTCCTGCCCAGGGTCGGACAGGAGGGAGTGTCAGAATTTTACAGATTAAAAACGGGCCCGTTCCTTCTCTTACTCTAGGCCGAGGGCACGCTGACTAATTGCACTTACCCCGCAACCGTGGCTATTCAATTAGACCCTTACAGGCATTTTTGAAGCTTAAAAATAAAACGTGTCAGTCTGTCGGTTAGTCCTCTTAGTGAAGCTATTTGCTCGTTCCAAAGTGATGCCGATGCCATATAGTTTTAAGCTACACCAGGAGCTCATATTCATGAGTAGCATTGCGCGACACTTAAACAACTATATGAGTAAGCCATAAAACAAGAAATGATACGTATTGTGAATGTTTTTTTTATTATGGAACAGGCTCACTCCAAACTTACCTTGGGACTCCAATTTGAGTTTTTGAGATGTGTTGCCTTTATTTAGTATGAATTCAAGGTCAAAGTCAAATTATTTATCAAAATAGTTAGTAAATAAACATACTTCTTTAAGTCGTGTCCTTAAATTGTCTTTAGTAATCGCTTTCTTCTCAAAGTCCCTCGTGGTGAGGATCATTAGAGGTGCATGCAGCTCGTACAGCGTTACTCCTGAAATTAATACAATAACGTTATACCCATCCGTTACAACTATTTTGTCATCAAACACCTAATATGTAGGCAATCCACATTTCAAGTGTGGGAAAACCTTGCTTCGGCACGAATTGGCGAGCTCGACCGGAGTGATACCACACAGAAAACTGGCGTAAAATAACCACAGCATTATGTGTCGCTGTGTGAGTGAGGTTACCGCAGGACCAATCCTTCCCTTCCCCTATTTCTCCCTTATTCTATTATCTAATTAGCAATAGAGGGTAAAAAGTCTATGTGACCACCATTCCGCGCTCACTAAGTACATTTTACAAGATATAAGTTCTAATCGAAAAAAGATAACAAGAGTTTCGCGTAGAAAAACTGCAGAATTAACAGTACATGAAGAGTTATGTCCTTGAAAACAAATGACGTTCGCAAACGAAGCTTTAAAATATGACGATAGTTACCTCTCAACCTAGAATACCCAGGCTCAATAATATCGAACGCCTTCATCAAATCCCTGCAGATCTCGATCTTTCTATTGAGCTCAGATTCAGGCATCACGTGGATCATGTAGTCAGCCACCTTCCCATACAGCTGGCTCAGCGAGTGCTTGGCGGAGAGGCACAGGTAGTGCGTGTTGTGGATCACGTTCCTGTACTTGTGGAGGAAACCTTCGAACCCTCGGACGTCGTTAGCGTCTATCTGCTCATACTCGTCTGTGAGTCTGCAAGCATTGTGTAAATTGGAAGCGGTGTAAGAGATGATATTCTTTAGAATGATGATAATTATAATATTTTTTTTAAGTGTGGTAGTGCCATGCATAGACACAAATGGGTCTAGCCCCCTGACATGATACTTTCACAGAAAACTGGCGTGAAACACAGTCATGTGCTTGGTCATGTGAGTGAGGTAACCGGATGCCCAATCCTTCTCCTCCCCCAATCTTTAAATCGCTTAAGCCCTAATCAAACACATCCCCTCGTTAGATGAATCCTCACTTTATTTAAGCAAAAGTATCGCAAGTACAGTGGTATATTCGTTTTACCCGAGAGTTAGACCATATAATATTCACCTCACCTCTTCAGCAGCAGTTGCACGGAGGGCGCGGTCATGACGTACTGGCAGTTGTTGTCGACGCAGTGCCAAAGCGCGGCCGGGTCCAGCGGCGCGGAGGGCAGCACGCGGCCGGCGCAGCGCGGGCAGCGGAAGGCGCTGGCGTACGTGCCCAGCTCCGTCGGGTCGCGGCAGCGGGCGCAGCTGCACTCGAAGAACTTACTGTGCTTTATGTGCTCACGACGTTTCAAGGTGCCCTGGAATATTCAAGAGTTCCGTTACAAGCTTATCTAATTTATGTTTATTCGAACTCGACAAATCGTCCAGAAATCTATGTTCTTCATTACCAAGCTTATTAATCCAAATATAAGGAAGGGTCAAGATTATGGAGAAATATCCAGTTAGAATATAATTTCACTGAAATTCATTATCATTTATTTATACTTTTTGCACAATGTAGAATGGTGGACTTTACGCCTTAGGCGTTCTCTGCCAGTTTACCTTAGGGTGGTAGAGAAATATAATTATTACTATTGTTATAAATTGGATATTTTTACCTGTAGTGTGTACGCATAACACAGAGATATCAAGTCTCCAGCCTTATGGGGGACTGACGCCCGTATAGTGAGTGGTCTTCCAGGAACCCTCTCTGAGTCTGTGTGTGTGGTGGTCGGGGTGCAGTCGTGTGCAAGGAGGTACGCTCTGTCGTACAGCGCTCTGGCGTTGGCGCCGCTGCCGCCTACTTCGAAGGCATTGACCTGAGGAAACAGTCAATTTGCAAATTTATTTTGTAATTGAAGCATAATGTGTTTTTGGTTATTGCTTACCAAATATCTATCTTTATTTACCTATCTCAATTTGTTCCTGATTTTTGCCTGATTAATTTGATCGGAGTTGATAGACGAATTTTATCGATATAATAACATGTAGCACTTAAAAAGTAAGTATCCAACTGTTATAATTCGCAATACCAGCATCAAGAAATGTAATTAGTTTTTGGCCAGGTTGTAAAAGCTATCCTATTATGTAGTAGGTACCTCCAAGATTCCGCAGACGGTATGTATCTCCTGGTCATCGTACTGCAGTCCCCACTTCTTCATTCGCTGAACGACGTTCTTCTCATTCATCGGCCAGATATCGCCCCTGGCTTTTCTTAACTCGTTGTGGGCCTCCATCGCTGATAATGCTGTCCACTTCGCAGGGTCCGCTGTCTTTAGCAGCAAGCACCTGGAATATTGTATAATTGCTAGTTACAATTCAGTGTTAGACAGTGAATAATAATTACTCGTTGCCGAAGTACTTAAATCATGTATTGTAATTTGGAAATGTAGATTTTTGGAAAAATTCTTTACTAATTTAGTTTGCATGATTCTAATATGTGACATCACTCTTAATCGAATCCAATTTCTCGGCTCATATTGCCGTACATGCATGATAAACGTTTTTTTTTTTATGTTTAATCACTTAATAACCAATGTTATTTCGAAAAGAGTTTACCTCAATGGCATGAGAGCTTGATAAGCGTCCTTAAGATCCTCAAGGTTGGAGTAGTCTGGTGGTATGTCCTTCAGTGTGTCGCACTCGTACGTGGAATGACCGGTGTACTTGCCGGAGCCGGGACATGAATTGCTGCACATCGGCCATTTGCAACCTCGGCATCTGGAGATATGGTGTCAGTTATGGTAGGTGGGAGTAAGGTAAGTAATAGTAAATTCTTGCCAAAAACATCTTCAGTTCCTAATTTGTCTAATCCATTACAAAATAACAGTTAAAAATGGTGCTGTAAAAACATATGAGTTTAGGGAAAAATGTTTGTTTTGTAAAGGAAAATCTCTGACTGACTTCTTCCGGCCAGAGTGGAGAGGGAGGGAGTGTCAGACTCTTACTGACTAAAAACCACCCGTTTTTTCTACTGGTCTAAGCCGGGGATGCGGTGCCATATTGAGCTTGCCCCGTAACCACGGCTGAATGGATAAATAATTAAATAAAAATAAACAGAGTGACATCATACTTCGCCAGGCTAGTTTCATCGAGTTCGCGATAACAGCCGAGGCAGATGAGGCCACACCCAGTGCAGGGACCCACAGCTATAGCGAGTTCTTCAAAAATAACCTCACCAGCTCTTATATCTCGACTTGCCACCAGATATCTGGAATGCACATACAATACTAAATTAATCATCATGCTTATCATCATCAGCCCATTTCGTCCATCACCGTTTAGGCTATTGCTGGACAACGACCTCTACGCTTTTGACTAGCTCTTCGCATCCAACTTTTTAGCAGCTATCGTGATTCCGCTTAGCTGGGGAGCGCAATACACTACATTTACTTATGCGAAGTCTACACTCCAAAATACGAGTTTAATAAAGAACTGTACAACATTTATTTAAATATTTTATCCAAGAATACCACAAAGCTTTCATCATTCACGGCTAAATGCATTAACACGATTAGTTCAGAAATCCGTATAGTGCATAAATAGAGATGGGCCGCTCGCCAAATTGTCTACTAACACCAACGACCACCGTACATCCCTGAGCTTGTACAAATGCGCGGGAAACTACAACTAACGTCATCAAAACTTTTACAACATTATTTAAACAAACTTCCTTCTACGCAAATGAAAACAAAAGGAATGAACACTACGTATTTCATCATTATAACTAAATATTATAGAAATTCAATCTAAAATGTATTTATTATTTTTAAGACTTTCTATTACCTGCCCATCACCTCAGAGTGCCTGATCTCATAGCAAACATTCTTCTTCTCCACAACAGGCTCCGGAGATCCTTCATCTTTATCATCATGTACATCTTCTATAATATTTTCTTTATTCTTCCCCTCTCCTCTCCCTCGTTTCTTCTGCTGCAAAAAAATCCAAGTTTAATTTACATTGCCAGAATTAATTCAGAGATACACAAAGCGTTGCGAAAAATGAGTTCTTACGCAGAAAATACATCGCAGCATTCGGGAGGTAAACAAACGGTTTGAGACTGTGTTGAGACAATTTTTTATGAACACATCCGAACTGGTATCTACAGGAGATATACAGATGACGTTGGAGTTATGAATGAATGTGGCTGGATGCTGGTAGGCGTTGTCTAGGTGTATTTTTGTTCACCACTTGACTTGGCCGTGCCAATGGCTCGATGTAAAAATCTGTTTCATAACCCTGTCAATGATTTATATGACCGTGAAATTGAGGTTCGCGGCCGCTGGACCGCTCGCACGGTCGGAGGTAATGTGTTTACATCTCATCAGAACCGACCGTATTCCGAATCTGGATAAGTAATGATAAATATTTCAATAGTCAATTTGTAACCTCACACCAATCGAACACTAGTACAAAACTGAACAAGTTCAATACTCTTGTATTTACGTTAATATCTAAACAGTTAGCAACCGGCCTTAAATACAAAGTTTTGTGGGGAGATCCTCGTAGTAGCCGCCTCCGGACCGAGCCGGAGAGAGCCGACGCTTGCGTCACACTGTGGCCGACTAAAGGAATATTCTAAGTGCACTATCATAACTTGTATTTTTTTATAGCATACTTTGGCAAAGGAGCTGACGGATACATCTGATGTTAAGCAATAGGCGCCGCCCAATGACACTCGTAATACCAAAGGAGCTACTCAACTGCGTTGCTTTTTGGGGATTGTTAGGGATATGACGATTTAGGATGGGGGAAAGGATTGGGCCTAGGGCAATCCCACCCACACGACGAAACACAAGGTAGGTAAGTGTTGGTTCACAACGGTTTTATGCGAGCCCATGGTATCAATGAGGTCGAGCCGGACCATTCGTGCCAAAGCATGGCTCTTTCACACTTAAAAACTCGATTTTTACTTCTTCAGATTTATTATTAAAGGATCCTGTCGCAAGACTAGGTGTATAATATCAATCTGTTAGCAGGAAAATTATAAAGCTGTGACAATAAAGAGGTTAGCACCACCGTCTGGTAATATTATTACTATATCAATCAACAGATATAATAAAGTGGAAATATTGACTACGGAATGGGGACAGAAGCGTGATAAATTGGAGTTTTATTTGATAAATGAACACCTGATTTTATTTGAAAATGGAACGAACACTCCAAAGAAAACTGACAATGTTGAAAATAGTAAAAAATATTTATTAATTTTCTTTTTATTTTTACTCGATTAATAGAGCCGTGATAATGTGTACACAACCCTATAAAACCTACATGGAAGTACTTGGAATAAGTACATAGATACATTCACATATAGCACAGCCGTTTGAATAGATTTCAGTTCAAGTGTTGATTGATGCTATGATGCCTACCACTTGTAGGTAATACTAGGAATTCATCAAAGACAGTTAACAAAGCCAGATGAGTAACATATGCTCCGAGCTTCACTCTCCAGTGACCAAATAAATCTAGGTACCAAATTCCAAACATGACAAATAGTGATACTGTTCTCCTAACTACGAGAATAATAAATATCTTCGGAGTCACAGGCGTCTGACAGACCATTAGAAGTCATTAGCTACCGGAAACATTTCTCAAGAGATATCAGAGAAAGTCTTAATTCTAGTGCGAAGGAAGCCTAAACGATTTACGTTATAATTACGATGTGAAATATGATTGCGATATATGTACATGTTGTAAGGATCATAAAGTTGTTTAGCGGAGTAATGGCTTGTGATTAATATTCGAGTATTATTCAGAATTATTTCACACTAGTTTTTTTTTGAACTATTTTGCATGCTGCATTGTGCATTTCAATTGTGTACTTGAATTCGTTGTCTTAATATACATCATTTTAGTTTTGTTATGTAGGTAAATATAAGTCTTTTTATTATATCTGTAAATTGAAAATGTCAATATACAATTTTCTTTCAAAAGGCAATCGTTTCTTTGGTAATGTTAAGACACTTGAGCACTTTCAGTAGATGTATTTTAGTTTGTTTTCCAATGATTACCAATTAATCAATGTGGCTAACAATTCGTTTATATGAACGAAATCCTAAAGTTATCAACTTTTCCAAAAATGTTTATTCATTTTATTCATGTTCATATTAAATTTAAGTTTCTCAATGAGTTCTAAATCTAAACTAGTGACAATGTATAAGTATTTATATATTTATTTCTCGAAATATTTATAATATGTTGAGAAAGCATAGGCAGGTTGCGTCTCACAGAAAAAATCTATATCAATAAATATTATAAAGTGTTAAGAAAATTTACGAATGTTTTATAAGATATATTTTACTGCCTTGATCATTGATATCAGTGGTGTTTAAGCTGTTGGGTATTTTGTGTTTTATATTTATGTTTACTGACCGTACCATTTAGATGATCGATCAGTTTAATATAATGTACCTATGCGATAAACTCTTAACGTACATACAAGATCAAAGTGGACAATTGCATCAAACATTTTAATAGAAACATTGGGAAATAATACCTGAGGTGAACGAAGGTAGATTGCAGTGCTAGTCCAAAATAATACTATAAATGCGAAAGTAACCCTGTCTCTCTGTCTTTTCTTCACGGCTTAACTACTGAACCATTTTCTGTAAAATTTGGTGCAGACATAGTATGTAACTTGAAAAAGGACATAGGATAGCATTTAGCATTTTTATACAAAAAATCTGCAGGAAGTCGCTATTGTCGCGGGCAAAAGCTAATTGGTTAGAACTCAAAGCCTAAGTTCTATTACGACACCTAAGACACGGGGTTACAGGTGCCAGCGCTAATGTACCGCGGCTTCAGCCAGGTGAAGAAAAGGGGTGATCTTTAGTCAGATAGAGTCTGGCACACCTTCCCGCCCCGGGTGCAGGGCGGGTGAAGTCATCCGATTATTTTAGGTCATAAAAATACCTAAGACACCAGAGTGCGTTGTCACGTCATTTTCCAACTAGTATACCAATACTCTGTCGTGGTGGCCCGGAGGGTAAGCTCCCGGTTCTCATGCATGGGGTCACGGGTTTCATGGACAAGCATGGTGATTACTGTTCAAACATTGTTCGAACAGCGTTGTGATTCGCCGTGTGCGTGAGGTTATCGGAGGCCCAATCCTTTCCCTCCCCTAATCCCTCCCCAATCCCGAAAAGGTCGGCAACTTACTCTTTACTCCTCCGTTTTTGTGGGTGTATATAAGCGGTGCTGATTGCTTACCATCAGATAATCCGCCTGCTCGTTGGCCGTCCTACCGCATAAAAAAATGTTGTTGTGAAAAGTGGCCTTTGCTTAGCAGTGGGCTCTTATACATAGGTTGATTTTTTCAACCTCAAATGTCTTCTCCTGCCCAGGGCCGGGCGGGAGGGAGTGTCAGTCTCTTACTGACTAAAAACCCACCTGTTCCTTCTCCTGCTCTGGGCCGAGGTCGCGGTACCTCATTGCGCTTACCCCGCAACCCCGGCTGAACATCAGCCATATAGGGCCCAGTTTGTTATCTGGTCTATTGCTAGGGCCTGGTTCTGGTCGGGCGGCGAGCTGCCCTTACTCGCCGACCACACACATCATCTCTCGATACATATGCTGATGATGTGATACTAATACATTATCACATACACTATCATGGTGGCGACTAAATAAAAATATTGAAACATTACAAAGAAACGTTTATTTGTGAAATTGGTGCTATTATTCTTGGCAGAAGTTAATCTCGTTTAGAAATAACCGAGTCTCGACTATTGTTCCGAGCTGGCGTTGGATACAGTTCAAATTGTTACTACATTGTACGTGTTCAGTTGTAGTACTAACTGCTAGTTAAAGCTTGGCTATGTCTCTTTAGTTAGGAGATGTATGACAATAGAGCGTAAATAGGAAAATATTGAATTTTCCTTTTTGTTTTCCTTTTTAAAGGCAATAATTGCTTGTGATTTTCTCTTGGGAAGGCAAACTGAACTATCATCATGAAATTGGTAGGTACTCAATTTTTGTTACTCTAGTCAAAGTTTATATTTTTAAGCACGCAGCCGGGGTTGCGGGTCTACCGCAAAATGATATCGCAGCCTCGTTCTGGAGCTGGTTGGCTTTTAGTCAGTAAGAGTCTGATTTTTCACCCTCAAAGCAATAACGTCCAATATACCTGCTGCTACGAGCTGAACTTTAAAGTTTTGAAGATCACAGTCATTGTTAATTCCTAAAACCGTGAGAAAAGGGGAATCTAAAATAAATACTATAAAACACGTTTAAGTTGAACCTGATTGTAACATAATGCCGTCTTCAAACCCCTTAAAAAGAAAAGAAAAAACAATACATTTCAACCCGAATATGAACGAAGAATGTTATACTTATATAAAGTTTGTTAGGTCGTTATTTTCAAAACGACACGTTCCATTCTCTGGAAGGCAGTAGTACCTAATAATGGCGCTGGAAATACCCAAACAGTATTAACGAGGGCGTGAAATCAAAACGTTGACAAAACGTAAAACAAAGCCACGATAATCTCGTGCCAAAAAACGCCAAATATAATTTTAATTGCCAACCGATGGCGTCCTGCCAGCGACACAATCACTCTCATTATTACTGGCTGTATATTGTGAACATTATTTTATTGTACACGGCTGACTGAGCACCGAACTAAATAAACATTAAATAAATAGATGGAGACATTGTTTTCTAGTAGCCGTGGAATGTTTCGCGGGATTGTTGAGTGAGCGTTTAGCGCGCTCCGAGCTGCGACGCGACGCGACGCTTGGAAAATTCACAGCTGTTTGTTTTTCTTTTTGGCGCGATGATTTTTTTAGCGTGTAAATTGATATTGATTAATTATTACTAATATTATTGCCTTATCAGTCTCCCCACTTCATTGCTTTTTTCGTTTGTTGTTTGTTTTTTATGGCATTAGGAAGCAACCGAACAGACATCATCTTCTTCATCATCATCTTAT